ACAAAGGTCGCCAAAATAATAAAATGTCCATTGATCGACATCAGTGTTGCAAGCTTCACTCTGCGTAACTCTTCTATAATCAACTCTGCATCACACCATGCAATCCACGAATTTGTCCAAATTTCTGTATTCTACTTTTATTTACCTGTATTTCTGTATGATGTACATAACAATGGCATAACAACAATAAAGGGTGTACCGTTTAAAATCCGCACACACAAAATTCATTCTCAAAATTCGAGTTTTTATCCGATTATCACCAACTTTTCAGGAAGTAAAAAGAAACAATGAAAGTTAGTTTTGGCATCATTCAATTAATTTATTTCACCTTTATATCCGAATTCGCAAACCTTGGCCTCAACCCCAGCCATAAGGTTCTGCACGACCTCAGAATCGATAATTTTTTGCATATTAACCCATGCTTTCTTCATTTCTTCTAAATTCTTCACCACTTTGGGCCGTTTTAGAAGGTGCTCCTTCATAATGACCCAGTATTTTTCTATTGGTCGCAGTTCCGAAGTATTTGGGGGGTTCAGATCTTTCAGCACGAAATCGACATCATTCACCTTATACCACTCTAGCACGTCCTTCGTGTAGTGGCATGATGCCAAATCCGGCCAGAAGATCGTTGGACCGTCGTGAGCCTTCAGGAGAGGGAGAAGCCGCTTTTCGAGACACTCTTCCAAATACACCTGTCTATTCATGGTGCTCGCGGTAACGAAAGGTGTACTCCGCTTTCCGCAAGTACAAATCGCTTGCCAAAATAAGAACTTCTTGGCGATCTTCGACATCTTCTGTGTCCGGAGGTTCTTGGAAGAAACATCACACTTATTCTTGACAGTCACATACAGGTTTCCTGGAGTCTGGTTGAAGTCCATATGTCACATATGTCTCGTCATCCATTACGCAGCAGTGTGGTTTCATTAATTTCTGATCGTACAACTTCCGGGAACGGCTTTTTGCGATCGTATTCTGTTTCTCGTCACGGTTTGAGTACTTCTGAACCTTAAACGTGCGTAGTCCAGCTCGAGTTTTAGTATTCTGCACGAAAGTCTTGCTCACATACAACTTTTTAGCCACATCTCGAACTGAGGCGTTCGGTTTCCGTTTAAAGGCCCCAATCACGCGTTTGTGATCGTTCTCGTTTACCTGACAGCTTTTTTTTCCGGATCTTCGCTTCCGATCAACAGTCAGACGTTCTTTGAACCGTTTTATGATACCAGACACCGTGGAATTCACGATTTCCAACTTTTTTTCCGACGGCACGATGCGACAGATCCTTATTCTCAAAGTACTCGTGCAAAACTTTTTCGCGCACGCACTGTTCTTTCGTCGCTATTTTGAAAACTTTTGCGCACCTGATGAAATCAACTCACAGAGTGTGTGCGGATTTTAAACGGTACACCCTTTAGCTGATAATTTTTTGAACCTGCACACTTAATCATGGCTTTCCTGTTCGGTAATTTTTTTACAGTTTTCGAACTGTAAATCACAAAAAATACCGAACATACAGCTATTCTCAATGAAACTACTGATGTTCAGTAGCTTTTGCGACTAACTACTGAATACGGTAATAGCAAGTACTGAATTTTCCGTAAAATAACAGAATTACGGGGAATGACTACAGCTCAGTAAAATAGAGTACCGAGTTTTCAGTATTCATTATGATTTACTGAATGATCATCAAATGAAATTCAAAATTGCTGATCTCTTCAGTAAGTGAACTTGTTTGCATCATCCTGCTCCGTATCACTTCGCGCACTTGACCCCGGAATTCGCTGTGTTATAATAGAAAACCTTTGTGAAAATAAGTGAAACATCTGGAAGCCAACGCAGGAGTGCAGAAACTACCACGGAATTGCGCAGTTTATGCACTCCAGCATCGACTTCCAGATGTTTCAATAATTTTGAAGGAAAAACACTCACTAACATTGCCTTTTAGCTCCATGCATGGACATGCAATCCGGCACACCGAGAGAGCCACCAACCAACCGGCTGAATCACCATGATGAAGCGTTAAACTTGAAACTCAGTCCCCTAATAAAAAACATAAATTTTCATCCTCCCTTTGTATGGAACTTTTTTGATGAATTCACTGACTTATTCACCAAAAAAATAAAATAAAAATACCGAAAAATTAAGCAAAAAAATGCAAACAAATAAATTACTGAAAAAGCCAGCAATTATTTTACTGAGTTAAACGGTAATTTTAGACAGTTCAGAGATTCTGCAATTTACGGAGTTTTCAGTAAAAGTAAAAACTACTGGATTGATTACTGAAAACTCATCTGTTTAAAAACCCAGTAAAATTTTACCGACTTTGGTAATCTGAACTCTGTGTGTGTTTCGTAGATCTTATAGAGAAACTGTAACGAATGCTGACATTATTTTTCACTCTATGTAGAGGGTTATACTTTCCAAACCCGCCTTTTGATGGGGTAAATTTAAAGAGCTGTGTGTGTGTGTGTGTATTCCCTCTAACCCCCACTGGCCGGCAGTGTTATTATGGAAGAACTCTCTCTTCAATGTCGCATATATGGTCATTGTAGCCAGCTTTAGTTCGGGAGTTAGAAAGTGATAGCTCTATTGCAGATCCAGCAACCCATTTCAGAATGTCTGGAGAGTTATGCCCATTCCGAGGTTACTTTTACTTACAATAAACCCCCTCATTTATGTATTACCTCTATCAATTGGATATTAGTATTACACACACACTTCCAGTTTCAAAATGTTTTTTTTTTAATCTTGGCACGTACCTATTTAGTTTATGTTTTTAAAAGTATTTGGACTGGTCTCACCATGTTAATTTGATCCTCCAATCCATGGGTTCCGTAGTTTTGTTTTTCTCTACGCATTGCATAACATTTCGTGATTCACCTTTGTTGTAATACTCCCTTCGACGAACACAAATTGTTTTGCATTGCCATGGTCATCTGGGAAGAGGTTCGCGTCTAGTGCTTTCCCCAGGAACCTTTTGCGGCCACCAGTCTTGGGCGTATCCAGCGAGACATTTTTCATATTGCTCACAATCTCCGACACCGATAGCGGAAAACTTGCTGATTCACGGCAACATCGGCCCCCGAATCACCACCAAAACTCGCGACGGACACATTATCATCACGTTTACGGCCTAATTCACCAACCGGACCGGGTTCAAACTCGCCCACGGTGACGAATCTCTCAATATAACAGAACTACACGTCGAAAATGTGACATCCTAACTCGGAGAACCGGGCTCCCGGGAGGCAATTTTCGACACCGAACAATGAAACTGAAGCTACGTCGTAGATTTAGGTTAGATTTAAGGTCAACCGAGTCACTCAAGGCAAACACAGCCAAAACACGATATATCACTAAATGATAACTTGATGAACACTTGAAACTAAATTGCAGCACACAAATAAGCAAATTTAAAGCAATAAATATTTAATTCGCTGACGAAAAATACGCAGCAAAAGAAAAACACGTCAGCTTTCAGCGCGGCCTACTGCGATCATCGTGGGGTAAATTTAAAGAGCTGGGACAGAAATCGAATGTTTAAAAAAATGTTGTGCCAATGGTTGTAAAATACCTTAATTATTGTTTACCATTTAATCCACGCTCAGTTTTTTAACGCAATTTTTTGCGCCTCTATTTTTGATCGTGTGATCTCAAATTGCAGCCAACTTTAATGAAACTTTTCTTTTTAAATCACAAAACATGGTGGTATTGAAAATGCTACATTAAAGAAAATTGAAAAAATAAAATAAAATAGAAATCACGTAAAAATAGAAGTGAGGGTTCTGGGGGCGACCCCGGCGTAGTGGTTAGCATTTATACCTCTCACGCCAAAGTCACTAGTTCAAATCTCACCCCCGGACAAGTCACGAATGACCCAAGAGCGTTAAAGTGACCATAATAAAAAAAAATAATATATAATATTATTATTTATCATTTACATGAAAATTTTAAATAAATTTGTTACAAAATCACTCTGTAAAGATTTGTTAAACAAATATTTTACATGATTTCCAGTACCTACTGAATTATTCAATTGAAAAAAAAATGATCTTTATTTCATAATGAAAATTCGTCATTACAAATGAGTTCTTTAATTTTGAAAAAAAAAATCGATTTTATAGGGGAAATGTTGGCTTCGGCAATACCTTAACCTATTATCGTCAGGGGGGTTAACAAAGTCCTAGCGCACTCAAATTTGGCCAATAGTTGCTCTGAAAGACAATGTATCCACATGCCAAAATTGAGCTCTCAATGACGTTGTTTACCTCCTGACGATAATAGGTTAAGGTATTGCCGAAGCCAACTTTTCCCCTACATAATCTGAAAGAGCTTCGTTTTCTGAACACAGCGATTAATTTTTATAACCCATAGACTTTCATCTCAATTTTTAAATCAATATTTAATGCAAAATAGTAACTTCGCTGTTTGACACTAAACTAATAAATTGACTTCTCTCTCTCATACAAAGCCCCAGCGAGGGGCGGTAGGATGGTGATTCTAGCTAGTGTAATCGCACTTATTAAAAATAGTTCCAGCGTACCAAAATTGATGAAATTTAGGATTGCAGTTCCATTTTTAATGCAGCTTACGAATAAGTATTTTCCTCAATACCCCTAAATAACCCAATTAGATTTTTCTTATTAATTTTTTTTTTTTCAAAAACTGCTCCAGACAAACTTGATCTAGATCATAATAGTTTCCATCATTTTTATATTGCCTTGTAAGCTTTTGAAAGAAACCACGCGTAATAAAAAATGGGCAGTAGAGGGTTAAATTTCCAAGCGAAAGGTGCTGCAGTATTGACATCATTGTCAACCATTCTAATTATCGCTAAGCTTACATTTTCCTCTCTTTGCTACTAAGGCGCTTATCGAAAAACGCACACGTAAGAGTTAAAGACTTTCTTGCCATCTATTACTTGCATAAATCAATTTGATCAATCAAAGCAAATATAAAATGCCATTTGCTTCCTTTTATTTCGCATATACTTCATAGATGCACTATTCTACACGTCAATTGTTCTGATAATTCTACGTATTCTTCTCCTTCTTCTACGGGAGGAACTAATCGCAAGTAGTCCATTGGCAATCACCAAAGCTATCGCATATGATCCATTTATGACCCACACCGCAGTGAGTACGGTATTCTTCAACGTCCAGGCCTTTGGCAGCAACTTGAGCAGCCCTCCAAAGCCATACATGGCCATGTGAACGGTCAGAAGCACGGCTGCCGGCAGTAGCACAATTTTGTCCTTAGAACAGATTTCAACCAAGTGTGCCAGAGCCATTCCAAATGAAAACGACATCATCGACATGGTCACCATCGTAAGGTAGAGCATGCTGTGTGTCTGGACATACAACAGACATATCGTCAGGGAGATACAGCTAAATGTAAAACAAGCAATCCATTTCTTGCCAACACTGAAACAAGTCACACTGTGCTGCAAGCATATTGGAGTCAGCACATTGAAAAGTGTATTCCAGATGAAATCCCTGTTCTCGAATGCCACGAAGAGTGGAAAAAATGGCTTCAGTGGCTTTTCGTTGCCGTTCACTAACCTAGAATAGAAAGTTTGATTAAGCATTTGCATGAAAACAAGCATAGCAAGAATATACCATTGCAAAACAGCACTGCTGACCGACGATAGCAATATGACTCCGAAAACTGCAGCAGCTATAAACTCACGGAACGCATATCGATTGCTCTCTTCAAACGAATCTTCCAGGGAATGCTTCCACGATTCACGTGGACAAAATAGAAAATAATGAACCATCGCAATGGCCAGATCCATGAAGTATTGCGTGTTTGGCCAAACCTGTTTCGATTCAAAGCTAATCCACTGCAGAAACGCATTGCCCAAGCTCTGCGCTACAGTGCCATAAATAATGGACGAGTATCGATCGCTACTGGAGCTGTAGATGATGATTTGATAAAAGTAGAGAGCTACTTTGCTATCCCGGAGTGCTTCCAACGCAAAACTGCACACGGGGAGAGTGTCTCGAAAGTATTTCAGGATGCATCCCAATGCGTAGCACAAGCAAACTGGTGGGTGAATTATGCTGTAGAGATCACGTACATTGCTTACACTGACGTTGCACGTTATCAGTAAGGAAGTTAAAACTGGACCCAATATTTGGGCTAGGTACAGATCCGGGTAAAAATCGATGTCTACTCCTTGGCCGTCTGTTCCGGTTTGGTTTTTGTGCTGTATCCAAGGGTATGGATCACGACGGAATCCGGTAAGGAACAGTGCCGCTATCGATAGGCGAACCACTCCTGCATTAACAAATTGCACTTCCATCTTTCATCACTAACTGTCAAAAGTACACTTGTTGCAGTTTTCAAACTTGCGCACACCCGCACATTGGGAAGCTCATCACTGGCTGCAACTTGTAGCGTGTGTTGTTGCATTCCCTATATCTCTATGGTCCAGCCGGCGGCTACCGCTGTGTCTCCTTTCAGCGCAAGCGTACAAAGCGTGCAAGCAGAAGACATTTTCATTCACGATGTCATGAATATGTTTTAGGAGAGGATACTGAGTAGGTAGGTAGTAGACATGGAAAAGTGTTGATGGAAAATGTTTTCGAAAAACAACTGCTAGGAATCGGTGGACTACTGTAAGCCAGAAATCTTTTTCGTACGCTAGTCGTGTATTTTTTTTTCCATCAAGGCAATGGCCATACCATTTTCAGCTAGTACACTGAATTTGCAACAATTTCCTCGCTAAATGGTTTTTAGCTTACACTCTTTTTCAATTCTATAGCCGACTACGAGCCATCTGGGGAATGTAAGATTCTATTACAGATTTGCATAAAAAGCATGCAGGCTTTGTAATGTTTCACCGCATGAACAGATTCTGTGGCCGCCGGAAGGTATTTTTAATAAAATTTAATAAAGTTTGTTTTCCCAAATTTAGTGCGGTTCACCTCATGAAGGTTTTGTATGAACATATTATTTCTATAAAAAAAAACTTGCTTGTACGCTACAGAACTTACATTACATTTGCTGTAAGAAAACATGCATCTAGTGTAAGAAATCAACCAATACATTTGCTGTTCATGGCATCAGGGAGTAGAATTGATTACATAATTCTCGAAATAACACTGTATCGCAGAAATCTCCGGAACATAACTGATATTTTCAGACGCTACTGATTGAAATATTTTGGGCTGTTACAAAGGGTAAACTGGTATTTGCATTCATTCAATACCGATCCGTTTCTGGGTAGGGTGTGATATAATTGAAAAATATAGCATTGTTTCGATATGTTTATAAATGGCGTGAAAATATATAGACAATAAAAGTAAAAGGAAAATGATGTTGATTCCGCTTAGTGAGATATGGTTACAAACGTAACAGATACGCATATTTTGTCTACAATGTGCGATTATCATCAGCGTCAATACCAGTATGAATATGCACTGACAATGCCTGTCCATTGTAGATGAAATATGCGTATCTGGCATGGATACAAATTTAAATAAGTGAAATTTAAGCCTCATACTCTTCTTCTTATTATTAGTTTTCTTCTTCAGAACTTCTTCCTCGCATTTCAAGCTTATTGCTTATCGCATATTAGCTTATTGCGTGCTCTCAACATAGTGTTCTAGATGCACTTCCACAGTTATAAATTGAAAGCTTTCGATCCCTGTACGATTTTTGCATTAGTATAATTGTGTGGCAAGTACAATCGAAGTCGAGAAATTTTCCATTCCGAAAAATTTCTAGACCTGATCGCGAATTGAACCCAGCAACCTCCAGCATGGTCTTACTTTATAGCTGCCTTTACCGACTGAGCTAAGAAAGGCCTCTAAAACCGCCAACATCTGGTGGTGAAAAATGCTAAAACTATCATAACTCCGTCATTTCGGAATAGATTTTTCATCTATCCATCTCAAGTAATCCGCATACAGCTGTGCGTTTTGAGAAACGCAGGTAGAATTCCGTCAGGACCCGGATTGTACGACCAATTGAGTTTCGAGAAAGCCCTGAAAAACATTTCGGTATTGATGTCAATTCTGCTCATGGTTTGGCCAGAGAGTGGTACGTATTACGTTAAACTGGCAGCCAGTCGGGCATTGTCGTCACTCAGTTTCTCGTCCGTGAAGACACTAGCAATTTTTTCAGAGAACAGCTGACAGATATCTTGCGTAGATGAGGTCACGTTAATATTATGTATCATAGGCGACGGCAGACCTGCTTCATGTCGTTTTTCGGTGACAAACTTCCAAAACTGCTTGGGACGTGATTTAAGCTTTCTCTGCAATCCAAACTGCAGACATAGTGACCTTGAAGGGATACTGTGCGGTGCTTGGTGAATTTCCTAAAAGCGGCTCTCTTTATGGATTTCAGTCGACGAAATTCACTCGTATGCCATAGTGGATGGGTTGTATGATGATGATTCTTTTTCGGAACGTGTCTGTCAATGACATATGCCAAGACATTGGAAATAGTTTGAGCGGCGGACTTAATATAAACGGTGGCATGTGAAATATTAAAATCATGCATCAGCTTAGTACTGAACGTCTCCAGTAGCGGCGGGTGGTGACGATCCAGTCTCACCAGAGGAGTGGGTGCCTCGCTTAAGAAAGGAGCTATGTCCTGGGCGCTTACAAAACAAAGATCCAAACTGCGGTTGTTCTGGCTAATAACATGATTGATTTGAGAAAGAGTGGCTGAGCAGTAATTGTCCAGAAGGAGCGAAGCGTTTGAATAACAGAGTGAGAGATAGAGGAAACCGTTGCGAGTTTTTTTACGTAGGACTTTCATTTTTATATGGGGGTACACTTTGTGAAACCAAAAATGGAACATGAAACAAAATTATGAAAGATTTTGAACATTAATAACTCAGCTGCCCCTGGACCAATTTCAATAATTTTATCACCTATCGATCAGAAATATTTCTACGCATCTTTAGCAACTGATGATTTTAAACAAGAAGCTATTGAAAAAGTGGTAATGTCAAGCGTTGTCCAATGTACACATAAAAAGTGATAATTTTATCACTGTTAAACGTTCTTCCCAAACCCAGTCCTCATAGTCGAGTACCACTTGGTTGCACATCATTCTACTTTAACCTGAAAAGATATAAAAAAGTGCTGCTGTCTAGCCTCAACTCATTTTCGCTTCGGACGCCGTGGTGAGCAGACAGCAGAAGCAGCAAAAGCAGTCGTTTGGCTCGCCCGTGGCGGTGTCAAACGTGTCTCCGGTCTGATTTACGAGAAAATACGAGGTGTGCTGAAGGTGTTCTTGGAAAATGTGATCCGTAATGCTGTCACCTATACTGAACACGCCACGGCCATGGATGTCGTCTACGCTTTGAAGCGACAGACGAACTCTGTACCGTTTCGGAGGAACATCATCACCAACTTTGGCAACAAAACGGCCCTTTTCTGGGCCAACAAGCTTATTACAGTAAAAAGTTAGAATAGAATTTATCTGCCTGTATATCCATATTCAGAACCACATGCCCCCAACGACCACACAAAATGCTCTCCAGAGTTGTAATCTTGTAACCAAATTTGGAAGCAGGGGTGGAAGTGATTTTGATTGATTCTCTTCATCAACTTTCTCTTTGAAAAAAAAAAAATACTACAAATTTGGTACGCCTACAAATCAAAAACGGAAAGAGTTAAGGATAAGATGATCGATCAATTAAAAGAGCTAAATTTTCTTCACATTTGTTCCGTGCCCTATCGGTCCTACGTCAAGCTCCCGTTCGTGCCCCTAGGCACAGACCCCTCTACTTTTTTTTTCATAAAATCCCCGGGAGATGGAAGTCACCAAACACAATAACTTCATCGCTTGCTCTAGCGGTATCCAGAACAGAGAAAACCGATTGGCAATGGGTTTCGATGAGGTAAGGCTCGGGAGGAAAGTACACCGCACAGAGAAACAAGGTGCGATCGCCCAGTTTGATCGACGTCCACACCTGCTCTAAGCATATCCTAGCATTATTTTCTAATAGCATCGCTTTAAACCTATAATTTACAGCCAGTAAAACTTTTCGGCTGTTAGTAGCATTCCTATCGCAACGGAAAACTTCGTAATCGTCCCGAACACCTGACGAGAGAGCGTGCGTGAATCAAACTATATCTCCGTGAGAACAATGATGTCGTAGCAAAGATCCGAGGGAGCTACGCAAAAATCGTCGACATCACAGTTGATTTTTTTCATTTGGTTTGTTTTCCGTCGATCTTGTTTTCCGTGCTGAGCACTAATGCTACCGACGCCAGAGAGGCAGCTCCCACACCAGGACCCTACCTATCGACTCATCAACTCATGAACCGAGAACCAATGGCTTTACTTTCCTTCAGAAGGAAGGCGTGATCAGAAATGTTATGCCTCAGAACATCCCGGCGGCACCGACTGGGATTGAACCCAGGCCTGCTGGGGTATTACCTCTCGCTTACCACTACACCACCGACGCCGCTAACATCACGGTTTATACCACCGACGTTCTGGTAGTAGACAGACATCTCATGCTGGACATGATGCGGCTAGTGCGGAGGCCGCAGAACCGGAAACACAGCTAGAAGTTGAAGTGGTATCAGGCAGAGGAGAGGCTGAATCGTCAATATATTTGCCAGTAATAGCTGGTTGGAAGACCCCCGACCTACATCTACACTCAGAGCCGAGACGAATATGCAGAGCGCTGGCTTAAGTAAGCGTGACTAAGTCAGAGAAATCGGGGGCTTCCACAGTGCTATCATAGAGGTAACTCTAAGACCAGAAGGTCCCGAAGAAACGAGCTCAACTTTTTGGCTTAGCTCAGGTACTATCTTCGGTCCCAAGCTGCACCTCTCGAATCATAGGAAACTTTCATAGCTAATCAAAACAAACATAGTGTAGTACTTGAATTTCGACTAGAATGGGGTACGCTTAAAGATGTATTTGGGACCAATGGGCTAGTCAAGTAGTGAGTCAATTTAAAATCGTTAGTTTCCACCGGTTGGTGCTATCCACGATGTGTCTCGGTGGTGGTCAAGAAGCAGTAGAGGTAGCGCTTCGTAAGAACGGTGTGCTGTGCGAACGGTGTCCGTTGTCGAGCAAACAATTTCGGAAAACCCCGTTTCTCGACTCAAGCGCAGGACCGGGATGTCTGCTGGTCGCTGGCGGGAAGGGATCGAATGCAGAGAGTGGAGTCCTGGTATCCGGCTAGCAGGGTAGGCTCCGGGAAACCAACTGACAGAAATCTAGCTTCTATTGTTCCCCAAAATATGTTAAACGCTAGCACATTGCACAGGATCAATCGGGGCATAATCTTCGACTTGGACCTCATCTCGACGTCGGAGACCATTGCAAGCAAACGATACAACTGTCATATAGCAGACATGAATCAACATGGCCACAACAAAAACGTGTTGCACTATGAATAGTTTCAACATTGCTAAAAATCCGTACGTATCCAGATTTGAACCTACAAAAATCCCTAAGCAACCAAAAGTTCGGATGAAAGTCCTTTTTTGGCTTAGTCAGCTAATCGAAGGATTATGAAGAGAATTCTATTCAGCTTACTTTTTAAGTAATTAACCGAACTTCCAAGTTCACATTCGATGTTTCAGCTTCTAACAGAATGCTGTTTCACTTTTAAAGAGAACTTGAAAGTTCACAAAAGGTTCGTTTAACTTTTGGAGGGAATGCTATTCAGCC